AACTTCTCTAAATGCAAGGGTAATTTTAAGCATAGCACCAGATTCCCACAGGAGCTTGAAAGGGATGATGGCAATCTCATCAAAAGGAGAAAAGGAGTCAGGAAACTCAGATCAGCAGTAGCTTGGGTCCAGTTGAATCTGCCTTGGGACAGAGAGGGGGACTGGATCCAACTGCAGAGAGTCTAAAAAAATTGGGAGTGGGCTCGGTTTCACTCCCCCACCCCTCTGGCTGGTGCAGCTGTGCAAGCCAAGGCTGTCATAATTTCCTTCCATCAGTAGCAAGGGGAGAATCAGAGACCAGCTGTGACTCACATGGTCTGAGTCAAACCTTCTCCTGTGAACACAGCTTACAGCATCTCCTAATTTCATTTCAAAGCCCTGGCTGGGCTCTTGGGTGGTGTTACTTTCAACTGTAAATTGCAGAGGGAAGAAGTGGGAGGTTCCTCTGACTTTTTGTAAAATGACACTTGGAAACTTGGGCAGCATTAATGGGAAAACCCTGCGTGTTTCCCATCCTAGTGCCTAATAGCAACTAGTGAAAGTGTTTCATGGGGACGTGAGAAAGGGAACAGTCCTCATGTATGTAGAAGCAGGGAGAGGATTGTCTTTTAATTTCTTTTTTTCCTTCATTTTCCACTTCTCTTACATCGTCTAAACTTGTGAAAATCAGTCATCCTAAGTATTTATTCTTAATTTAGGCAACACGTGACCCCCAGCCTGCTTCTGTCACTGGCACAAGGCAAGGTAGTGGATGTTTGTCACTACAGGCATTGTTTTATTCAGTCCTTAAACCACCTGCAGATTTGAGCACATACTTGGTGCATTGTTACTTATAAACAGCACTCAAGTTTTTCTCACTCAGCTTTGGGAAAATGTTAAAACACACACACACAAAAAAAATTAGAAAAAAAAGAAGCAGAGACTGTTCACAGAAGTAATATTTAACATAAGCATGCACAGAAGTGCCTGTGCTTGACATGAATGAGTTCAAAACACACAAAATATTCTGTGCTTTAGGTACATGAGCTCTGGATGTATATATCCAGCCACGAGAATTGCCATACTCTGAGGTCCATCTAGCCCAGGACCCAGTGTCTGTCAGTGGTAAGTAGCAAGAAAAGGAGATTAGAAACAGAACATCCTTCCCTACAAATGCCTTTCCAACCATCAGAGGCTTAAGAGCTTACTCAGCTGAAAATTATAGCCAGACCACTTTGTACAGTAGACACCACTGGAGCTATTTTTCACAAATATTTCTCATCCCTTTTCAAAAAAAAAAAAAAATTGCTTCTGACTTGACTTGTATCTCATGAAAATGTAACAATGCTCCATAGTTTTGTTATATTTACCATTATATAGTAATTTACACAAGAATCTTATGGTTTCAGTTTATTACATGGAAAAAACCCTTTTCTTATTTTTTTCATCTTGCCACCTACTAATTTCTGTGGGTATACCTTAGTTTTTATATTGTGACTTACCATTCCCTGTTTATCTTTCCCACGTTGCCTGTGCTTTTGGGGCTCTCTGGAACATGATTCTGCACAACACACCCACTTTTTTTGCTTGTGAGTCAATGACAGGCAGGGAGTGTGTTGTGTGTAGTGGTGAAGGTGAGGAGCAGGGGCTCCACTGCTGTCACAGCAACAGCCAGGGTTTGTTTCACCGTCATGTGATTGTGTTCATGCTGTTTTCGGGAGGCTGCCAGGGATATGGGCTCTTATCTCTGGATGCCCCAGCTGAACAGAGAGCTGGAGCGTATCCCTGCCTTCACTGAGTGCCCCTCAAAAGTGTAAAAGACCTCATAAAAATAGTTCAGAGGCAACTCCGAGGCAGGGAGGAGGTTGGTGGGCTGGTTGGTTGGTTTGGCGTTTGGGATGGTGGGGCCGGCGTCACACGCAGGCATTTCCCGGGAGCGTGAGCACCCTGAGCACCCAGAGCCTCCGCTCAGCTTCCAAACACAGGAGCCAAGAACTGCATTATTATTGTTATGAAGGTACACAGTACATTTTGCAGGAGCAGACTGTAAATATTTCCAGCAATAGGTGTGGATGCCAAGCTTCGCTGTCGCCTTCCTAGCCGTTAAGAAGGCACTATTTTGTTTTATTGCACAGACAGTAGATCCTCCACCCCTTCGCCACCCTTCTCACAAGTACGTGTTGGGGTGGCACACTGGGTTTATCACACGCTGAGGAAGAAAACTGGAGCTGGAGTCTCTGCTTCCTGTCATCCCAACAGCCTATTTTAGCTCGTGGGGCTCTTGAAAAGACAAATCGTGTTTCCTCTGCTCTCGTGCGTGGTCGGAGCCTGAGCAGTTCTGTCCCTTCAGGTGCACCAGTGGTCCAGCCCGTGGTAATCTGCAATTAAAAAGCCCACGTGCCCACACAGAGGAGCCCAGGGAATATTAAAAAGTAAAGAAAGTAGTGTGGAGAAGCAGGACAGAGGGATGGAGGTCAGGCAGGCTCCGTCCAGATGTTTTCCCATTGTCTTTATATCAGTTTCCAACAACAGGCTTCTCCAAAGCAGCTCAAGGATGTGCTAGAGCTCATCTAGGGGAGTGGGAAGGAAGCTTGTTGTCCTGCCTCTCAGTACTACTGGGTGGAGCACAGGTTCCACAGCACACGGAGATTTTTCCACTTCCACTCAAATCTGGGCCATGTCAGCCCCGGGACCTTCTGAAATAATACCAGGCAATTCATGTATTTTAATTTTCAGGACACTTTAAAAGTAAAAATTGCCTGTTAACACTTAAACACTTGGAATGAGGCAGTAATGTCAATTTTATTTTTACTTTTTTTTCCACTTGGGGAGCTGGAATACAAGCTTAATTTTGGAAATCCTGCTTGTCAGACTAAAACTTCCTAAAGCCTCTTGCAGAATGATGCCATCAATCAGCTGGTCCACCTCTGGCTGGGCTTTCAGTAGGGAATTACCCACAGAAAAGGTATCACTTCAGTGGTGAAGGCACATTCTGTGCTGCCCTGTGCATATATCCAGGCTGGGTTCCCACCCCAGCTGTACTCAGCAGATGCTCGTGGAGTTTGTGGTCATGATGAGATAGGACACTGGAATCCAGCATTATTTCCAGATTTCTTTGTGTTTCACATCCGTAAAACAAATATATATGTTGGTCTCGTGCCCACATTTGGTTCTGTCGCAAATCTCCATCCAAAATAAATTAATTTCAGGCAAAGGGAAAAGAGCACGTTCCCAAGTGCCTTTGATCCTGGGTTAATCAAGCTGGTAACTGAGGCTTCAGTGCAACACAATCTACTCGCCCTCTCTTCTGCTAAGAATAAACTAAGTGATGGGCATTTTAAAAATAGTCCAATCCATACTGTCCCAAAAAAAATCCCAAAAGTCAAAAAAGGAGCTAAAAGGTATGAAATGTAGCCTGAAAGCATCCGGGCTCAAAGCCTTGAGGGTTTATATTCCATGAAGGAAAAGTCCATGCATGTAAATTCCCTGGGTTATGTATTTATTATAACGTGTTTTCTGTCCCTCCTGTCAAACTTCCAACCAACCCAGGAAAGATGCTTTTACAATTTTAAGAACACTGTCCCCCAGGGATACCTGAGCTGTAACCTGCTGTCTTTTGGGTAGCAAAGGGGGGCTGAGGGTGGAACTAGACCCCTGATCTAAGTGAGAACAGTGTCTGCTTGCTGTCACCAGGTGGGCACCCCTCTGCTACCCCTGGGCTGGGCTCCCTGATTCCTGAGTACCACCAGCAAGATGCCACTCAGCAATGTCCCTTTTGGGGGTGCAAGGGGACCAGGAAGGGCCTGGGTGCAGCAGGAGCTGTGACAAATGTGGGGTGCTTGGGGTCTGACTGCCAGAAGCTGGGAAGCCTGCCAAGCCTGCTTCCTTCTGGCAGAGCCCTTGCACGCTTCTCTTCGAGTTTTTGAGGGTTAAGTGCTTGTCTGAGATTTAAAAAAAAAAATAAAAAATAAGGGAAAACAGTCAGAGAATGGTGCAGATAAATGTGTGTCAGTTTTGCCTAAGAGGGTTTCTGCAGCACAGCACAGGCTCTGGCAGTGAATTTGGAGAAGACCAAGGAATCCGTGGGGGGCACTGAAGAGGGGTTTAAATCCGTGGGGATGAACAAGCCTGGAATCCTGCTCAAAATCCTGCACAAATCCTGCAGCCACCCAGCAGGAGGTGTAAAAGGCAAGTGGCAGCTGTTTTACACCTCACATTCCTAAAAAACAAAGTTGAGAAAAGTAACCCGGTGGTATTCTTTGAGGGTGTGACTTGGTTGGTGCGTACGGTGACATCCAGAGCATCCCTCCTGGACCAGAGCTGGGAGAGGAGGGGGGTGGCAGTCACAGCCTCCCCGGGAGATCAAAGAACATGCCGAGTTGGAAGGGACCCACAAGGACCATCGAGTCCAACCCTTAGCCCTGCACAGGACCATCCCCAAGAGACAGGGCGCCCCGGCAGCCAGCGGGGCGGAGGACAAGCTTTGTCACCGCTTCCCCACTTGCCAACCCTGTCACCTTTCCCACTGGGACAGCAGGAAACACGGGGCGGCGAACCGGGGAGGGGGCCGGTCACCCCCAAACAACGCGGGGCTTCAACAGCGCACCCCGCCGCGCTTTTTCTTTCTGTTTCTTTTTTTTTTTTTTTTTTTTTTTTTTGTTAAACTCCTTTATTTTTGCGGAGACGCAGGAGGCGCGGGAGCGTGATAAAAAAAAATATAAAATTAATAGGAAAGGGAGCTGGGAAATGACTTAATTGCGAGGGTCTTGAGCTCTTCGGCGGATGTGGCTCCCACCGCCGACCTTCCGCGGGCGCTCGCGCCGCCAAGGTCAGCGCAGGCTAGCGCGCGGGGCTCCGCGGGGGCGGCGCCGCCGGGAGGGAGGGAGGGAGGGAGGGAAGGAGGAAGGGAAGAGGGAGGAAGGAGGGCGGTGATGCCCGCGAGGGCGCGCTTCCGGCGGGCCGGGCCGCCCGTTATTTAAAGATGCTGCCGGGGGCGGCGGAAGCCGCTCGCAGGAGTGAGCGCGCCCTCCCGACAGGCGCCGCGGGAAGGAGGGAGAAAAAAGGGAGGAGAAACAGCAGCAGGAGGAGGAGGAGGAGGGATCCTGGCAAGTTCGGTGTGGTACCAAGTCCAGGCGGGCTGCAGGGCTCGGACGGGCGATGGATAAGGATGAGATCCACCTGCGCAGGCTGCCGGCCGCCGCGCCTTGGGGACCGCGTAAGTGTCCGGCCGCGGCGGGAACGGTGCGGGATGGGGGGACGCTCCTGCCCGGCCGGGGACGGGCTCCGCGGGCCGCCCCGCCTGCCCCGATAAGGGATTTATTATTAGCGTTTCATCGACTATTTTTAAAAATCCAGAAATAATCTCCGCGGAGTAGCGGCGGAATGAAATAGCTTTGTCCCATCTCCGCCCCCCCCAAAACGGTGTAAAGTCCTTTTAACCTGACTTAATATTGTAATTAAAAGCTCGTCTAGCCCCGGGAAGCCAATCTAATTGTGGGAAATTGCCGGAGTACAAAGTATATGTGACAAATCCTTGAGGTGATGATTGCTGTTAGTTCACGCTGTGCCGCGGAAGTCGAGCTAAAAAAAAAAAAAAAAAAAAAAGAAAAATCTCACTAAATGAAATGGGTCTGTCCGAGATTGTCAGTAATGCTTTTACAGAACTGACTAAATCATGTATCTGGGTATCATTAACTAATGTGTGCAGCAAAATAAATTATATATATTGGAAGGGGACAATACATTCCTTGGCTGAGAAGTTACAGAGCGTTTGGAGCCAAAGAGCAGATCGTTTAAGTGGTAGGGGGTGGGAATTTCCTTGGCTTCCCTCTAGAAATAAATCACAGCTCGGTGCCTGTGTGCATGCATGTGCACCCACATGTGCATTTATATAAAATCTTCACACACATACCCTGTGTATATAAAACCTTCGCACACAGGCATTGGAACACAAATTTTGTGAGTACTATTTACTGAGCGCATTTTTCTCCCAGTTTAGAGACAATAAAACTGGGACTGAGATGCTAACCAGGAACATACTGGAACACATTTGATTATCCGGCTGAATTGTATACAAATGAAGTAAATTTAGCATGGCACCATTTATAAATTCCACGCTTTACAATCAAAATTCCAAATCTAACTGGTGGCAGCTAAGAATAGCACAGGGAGCCCTTTTCTTCACTCCCTCTTTTTGGATTCCCACGAAAACCGTTATCCTGGAGCCTACTCATTAAATGGCCAGATATTTCATCAGAGTTCAGCCCATTTCTAAAAGAAATGCTGTTTGCTCATCAAACCATAGGCTGGTCAGAGCGCTCAGAATGAAAACTTTAATGTCTGACACAAAACAGGTGGGCTTTGTATCTTAATACCGGGGAGACTGGGTTTCTGTGTTCTGCTGGTTGTCCCACCTTAACTTCTTTATGAAAATAAGGAGCTTGAACTTTTCAAAACTGTCATGGAAAGCAGGGGAAGCCGAAGTGTTGTCACAGTACATTGACGGAGATATCTGTAAGAGGACTACATGATAAAATGGCACTAGAAACTCCACCATTACTCACGGGGCAGGTGGCAATTTATCATGAGGCAATCGCAGCGATAGGGTGAGAGTCCTGAGAAATCTTTTTGAGTGGCTTTTTTTCATCTTTGGAAAACGTAGTATTTTGCAGTGACGTTATTTAATTTACTGAGTCACCCATTAGCAGCACGAGCACTGTACACCAGCTTCATTGATGAGTTCAAGGAGCAGTTTTTTGCTCTCTGAAGTGCATGTTTGTGTTTCTGTTGATAACCTATCCAAAAGAGCTTGTTTGTAAAAGCTGGTTATAAGATGAAACTCCTTTCTTATTACATGGCACAGCCATGTATTGGGGTACAAATCCTACCCAGTTGTTTGGTAACTTCTGCATTTATTGCTGGAGAGACGTGTGGAGACCCAGCCTTAATGTTTGTACTTGGTCTTTGTACTCAGAAAACCTCCCCCAGACAGCAAAGGAGACTTGCTTGTTACGAGGAGTTGGGAAAAAATTTGGGGTCAGTGAGAGGATGATGGAAGACAGGAAAACAAGGGGGAAAAACCTGTGCTCCTATAAGCTCTGGGTAAATACTATCTGTCGCCTACATCCAAAGGACTGTTTAACTTATGGCTCACAAGGAAAAAAGTGACCTCAGCACATTATTTTTGGCTCTTTTGGTGGCATGAAAGGACAGGTGTCCCCAGCTACATCTGTGCCCTAAGGAGCCAGGCGTTGCAGCTGATGCCTGTCAGCTTATTATATGCAACTCCTTCTTTATGTCCTGGGGTAACAAGTGCATCTGATAAAGACTGGATGAGGGTCAGAATTGGGGTGGGCTCAGGGGAAAGGTACTGGCATGTTGGCTTCTAAGAGGACCATGGTGATGTCCTGTCACTTCAGAGAAAAGCTTAGAGGCACGGGGGACAAGTGCTCAGGACTGAGCACAGGTTTAGGATTCAAAAATTCCCTGAAAACCCCCTTTGAAAACTCTCCCATGGGAGAGTTTTGTCACCAGCTTAAATGTTGTCAGACTCTCACCCCAGAAAATGAAATGTTTTTCCCCTTTTCTCTGGAATACACTGCTCAATCCAAGGCTGGGACTTCCAGCAGAGCTCTGTAGGTTTTTGGTCCATATTGCCCTGCTTCCCATGGTAGCACTGCAGCTATTTCCATTAACAGTGAAAATGATGAAGCATATTAGGCTAATAATTAATCAGAGATGACAAGGGACTAATAACTGTATTGATTTAATTAGGACTTCTTTTCCAGCTCTGTAACTTGCAGTCATGCACATCATTAACTTAGCATTTTAATTTGCCGTGATAACTTATTAATTTCTGGGGGCGAGCGCGCGTGCGGCCGGGGCAGCGGCTCCGACTTTGTGCCTCGGTCCTGCCCAGGACTGGCAGCAAGCAGGGCGCTCTGTCAGCCCCTGGGAGCTGCTCCTGCAGGGCACCGAGGCAGTGGGAATTGCCGAGCCAGGTGTGGTGGGTGAGCCGGGAAGGCACGTGTGGCTCTCCGGCCGCTCGCTGCGGTCGTACGGGCGTGACGTGAAATATGGGGTAAAAGCAGCGTGCCAGAACGGGAGGAGGGAGAGTGACCCTGGGAAGGAGCAGCAGTTGTTGGCATCGGGAAGGGAAAAATGTCCCTCCTGACTTGCGCTGCACCCTTTGAATTCTGGCGATTTCGAGAAGAGGAAATGCTTGGGGACGTGCTGTGGTTGGAAAATAAGGCTCACTTTAAATTAGAATCACTTTGGGGAGAGGAGGAAAGGCAGGGGCTGTAACAGGCATGATAAACAGGAATTTACTGTGTGAAAGGCTGATGAATGCCAAGTTTACTCATCTTTCCCCCCCCCCCCCGTTTTGTTGGGGGTACTTGGCACTCGCTGGGCATGCCTGGCATCTTATGCAGCTGGTCCTCAGCAAGATCCCCTCTGGTACACTGCTGACCAGAAACTTCTCCAGCAGGGAGAAGCTGTTCCCACTGAGATCATAGAGCTAAATAGATGGTTGTGTTGCACTGTGCAGCAAGGTTTGGGACTTGCGGGGAAAGAGATCCCATCAACCTCCGCTCAGAGCTGAGCATCCTGCTCTGTATTATCAAGGTACTTGTAAACCTTTGCCCTGTGCCGTGGGAAGGCTGATTCCTCTGCTTTATCCTCGTTTGCTGCAGAGGGCAGTCAGCACAGGGACAAGAGCTGTGCAAGCCAGAAGCACCAGGCAGGCTCCATAGGAGAGCCTGTCCAAAGTCCTTGTCCTTGGGCAAGATGATGGGGAGTTTGGAGAATTTACCCTATCAAATATGCATTTCATATAGAAACGGGTCATTTTCATGTGGAAGTACTGTTGGGTCACTGTGCAGGTGAACTGTTGGTCTGGTGAGCTCCAGGAACAGAAGGCACCACTTTCCTTATTTCTTACAAGTGTTTTCAGAGATTCTGAGAAAGCCTTTCTGCACACAGCCTCATACCTTATTATACAAGCCAAGCTGGAAATAGTTGTGCTTAATTTCAGAGACTGCAGAAGATGTTTTGCTGAGGGTGGGAACATTAACCTTTCTGACCTCACCCGTGTTTGCAGGCCAACTGGAGATTATGGCAGGACTTGCAGTTCTGCCATAGGTACAAACCCCGAGAGGGGTTTTACAAATGACAAATTTTCAGGGGTTGGCAGCTTTGCTGAGACCCTATCAGGGTGTTATTTTCAGTGGTGCTAAGTCATCTTGTGCCAGCTGTTAGATCTAAGCAATGTCACTGACGCTGCGCGACTCCCTTCTGCCGCTCTGAAGAGCAAAAAAAAAGATAGTGGTGTTACCTCTCGTTGTTCCTGAGAGGTAATTTGTGGTGAATTCAGGCCTTTTAGCAACAGCCACAGAGGCTGCCTCGCTTGGGAGGCTGGGAATGCACAGGAAGCAAAGCTCCTCGTGCTGGGCTGCATTAGTCACCACGGCTGCTTCGCAGGCAAGCCCACAGGCCCTCCAGGGAAACGGATTCTTATTTATTTGGTTTAGCCTTTGATTTGTATCCCTCGTCCCTCTATTTCTGAAAGTAGTACTACATCCTGGTGGGAGGGCCAGCCCTTCTCCCTGCCCCCTAACCTCCCTGTATCCTTTAGCCTTTATCTGCAGCAGCTGACCCGTGTCCCCGTGTACATCCTCGCTCCGTTTGTTCTGTTCCTTTGTGCTGCTCCGTGGGTCCTCCCGTTTCAGCTCCCTTTGCTGTTCCCAGTGTCTTGTCCCTGCCTCTGCTCTGTGGCTGGCCCACATGCCAGTGTTTTCTGTCTTCTTCAGACTCCCACAGTTCACATTTTTGAACCTTCTACTGGCAGTCTGTCCTTCCAGCCATTACGGGAACTATTTCCAGATTTGAACTGATGGAAAGATAGTGGCAACACCAGATCCAGCGCCATTCCTCTTTAATATCTTTGCCTGCTTACCTTATCTGCATATCTGATTTATTCTTGGCAGCTCTGTATCCGTGGTAGGACCTGGATGTACATTCTTATTCCTATCAGTGGCATATTAATAATGTATACAATTACTGAGATGTCCTTTCGGACTGCAGCTCTGCAAGCTGGAACCTTTTCTTTTTTGAAGCTGACACAAACACCTAAGACTTTTCCCACGCAACTGTAAGTGATCTGGGGGAGTTTTAAAATCTGTAATCTGTTATGAAAAGCCTAAGTGGTTCGCAGGC